TGCCTCAATACCGCCTGTATTTCTGTCTGAGGGTGAGGAAATTGTCGCCGAGATTGGACAGTCCATAGTCTCATCTCTGGTTTTGTTTTGTTTTGTTGTTCCCCCTCCCACCCCCTTTATAAATCTCTCCAGCAATTGGGTAATGGTGACCCAGAACCTAAAATTATGAGAAGCACGACTAGTTTCTGTCATTGAACGTTGGTTGTAACTGCAGCGATGGCAGGAGCATTTGGGAGTTAAACCAGCTGCTCAATTTTTTTTTTTTTTTTTTTTTTAAAATAAGGTTCATCTTGTTGTGTTGATGCTCCAGTTGGCACCTCTACAGCTTGGCCTTTTACTTTCAAATCTTTGGAAATGCACAGAAGTTTCCTGTGTCTCAGAACTGAAGCCCCTGTGTGCGGCAGTTCTGCCGATGTCCTTGGCCTTCTTCCTCTCTGGTCCATCAAACCAGTGCATTAATGGTGGTTTTGTGGGGGTGAAGACACCCCAAATGGCCCAGCCCCTAAGTACCTGCTGACAGTTTTGTATTTCCCAGTGTATCTGTGTGCTCTGAACGGGATTAGCCCCTGCAGTTTGCCTTAATCTTTGTTGAGGAGAGGTGGGGAGGCAGGTCATGGTCTTACAAAATGAGATCTACAGGTTGGGTTCCTTCACCGCGTTTTAGGAGCACCGAAGGGATTTGGGTGCCGAAGACCATGAGCACCTAAATCACTTGGGTACTTCTGAAACTGTCTGTAACCCATCCCTTTTTAGGACCCCAAACAAATAACCTGAGTTTTTGGAAGAGCTGAGCTCCCAGTAGCCCTCCAGGAGGAAACGGAGCTGTTGGACCCGCAGCACTTCTGAAAAATCACGTTAGTCTGGTCTCAAAGCCAAACCTGAGGCTTCTTTTTTCTTCCCCATAAATCTTGGTTCGCAGAGTCCTCCCCGTGCAGCTTCTGTCTCGGGCTGCAGAGCTGCCCCGTCCCCCAAAACAGCGCATTTTATGGTGAGGATTCTGAGCCTGGTTTAAGGATTTCCATGAGCTGCCGCAGTTGCCTGTAGCTGCCCTGTCCCTGCAAGCCGGCGGGGTCTGACCGGGGCAGGGGAGCCCTGCAGCCACAGACATGGTTTTGGAAGGCAGCCCCATGGAGATGCCTTTCTAATCTCTCCCGGGTACTTTGGCTTGTACTTAGGAAGGGGAGAGATGAGAGGAGAAAGGCAGAAGGTGTGCGCTTAACACGCCAGCCTGGATTGGACCCAGCATTCACCTCCCACGGTCAGCACAGGCACCCCGGCACCCCATGGAAATAGTGGCAAGGACTAAAAAGAAACCTCCCCAGCACGTGCTGCTTTACAGAGAGACTTAGTGAAGGTGTTTTGGTTTGCTGAAAAGCCTGTCCCCAGTTTATTGTCTCTTAAACTGAAACCTAAGACAAAAAAGAGAGAGACATTGACTGTGCTCCCTGCAAAATTGTATCTCACTAGGTGAAATCACCCAAGAGAATAGTGCAAAAGTTTTGGAAATCTAACTTAAATCTTTAGTTTCCCAACATGAAGCTGGCTTGAGTTCAGGGTGCAGATGCCTCCGCAGTTGGCGTTTCTAGGAAGCACGCTCTGTGCTTGCAAATCCCACCGGCCGCTGCCCAACACCTTCATTTATCCGTTCGGTTCACACCTCTGTTTGCAATTCCAGGTTGGTCCATACGTGGTCTGTGACTGCCGGGGGTCTGGGAGGGGAAGGGGCTCATCTTGCAGATATTTATATTGTATAGAGCAGCTTATTTCTACAAGGAAAAAAAAAAAGAAACATTTTTAAACTCCAACAAAGTATACAGTAGTTTCAGTTCCGGTTTTTGTGACCTTTTTCAGGGATCATTTCAGTGCATTTCTGTATAAAATAAAAATTTAAGGAAAAAAGGACTTTGAAGTATAAAAAAAAAAAAAAGCATCTTCTGTACATAGGCAAACTCAAGAATCTTCTCTTCAAACACTGTTTCTTGTAGAAACATGTTGAAATTTTTTTGCTGATTTCTTTGTACTTCGAGAGCATGTAAATAATTTATTAAAAGTGACTATTGTAATTTGGAGTTCTTTTTAAACAGATTCCAGCTCTAAATCATGTCGAGGAGATGGGGAGGAAGAAGGACTAAGTATAGCAAAGGAGCTGGTGGCATTTACAGCTTGTGTCAAGCTTTGTATAATGTAAATTCTGTATAAATATGTTTTTTTGTCAAATAAATAGATGGAATTAGAAGCATTAAGAAACTGAAGACAAAAAATTGCCAAGTCAAGGCTTCTTCTTTTCCCCCCCACCCTCAGTCTGAAACCTAATGTGCAAAATCTATTTATTTCAAGCGAGGAAATGTGTACAGTCTAATAGACAACCTAAAATGTATTTAAGCGAGTTTGCAACTGGATTTTTTTCAATTTAATATTTGTTTTGTTTTTATGAGTTTCCTCCTTAATTGCCACTGTAGTATTTGTCCAAGTGAAAAGAAACACATCGTAACGGACACTCTAAAACAAATGGGCAGTTTTAAAAGCAAAATGGAAGAACACCCGGCTCCCAATCCTTGCAGTTTTCTGGTTCTATAAACAGGTTGTTTTAATTCACAGTGTGAAAATAAAGGGCCTCCTTTAAAAGGAGGCAGGTAAAATGGTTTGCAATAAATGAAAAACAAAAAAAATCTTATTTTTTTTAAGTTCCTTAAAAAAAACAACTCTGCTTTGAAGATTTAGGATTTCTGCTTTTTCTTTCGTTAAGCAAATTTATAAATTTAGGGATGTTTTGTGCATATAGAATCTGTCACCAGTATGTATCTTGTTTTGAAGAAAGTGTTTTTGTTGTGGATGTGTCATGCTGTATATATTTGTTCATATTTTTGTGAATTGAATACTATGTACCATTGTATTATAGTAACTTTTATAAAGCAAACCATAAATATACTGACTTTTCTTACAGAAAAATTATGTTGTGCTTAATGTATAGCCAGGGCAGCTTTTTGCTCTCAGACCCGTGCTGGGAACCGTGAGAGCCCAAGGAACCAGATCCAGAAAAAGAGCAGTCCAAAGGATGGATTTTCAGCAAAGGTTACTGAAAATACTAATTCTGGTGAGGAGGAAATGACTTGAAGCAACATTATATTGCACGAAAGAAATACGTGAGTGATTTAAGTTTATAAACTTAAAGAAAATTTTCTTCGTATTAAAAATCCTTACAACCCTTAAGAGCTGAAGCTCAGCCAGGCGCCGCCGTGCCGGGTGTCCCTAACCCGTCCAACCTCAGTGGTGCTGCCTGGGCAGGTGCGGGGGCCCTGCTTCTGCAGCCTCTGCCCTGGATTTTTCTGACTTCACTTTTTTTTTTTTTTTTTTTTTTTTTTAAAAACTTTATGGAGGTGAAAGCCCTTAATCTACGAAGTGAGGTGTTAATGTTGCTGGTTCGGGTGATGCTGTAAGGCTGTTGGGGCCAGAGGACCTTTGGTTACTTTTTTTTTAAATCAGTTTATTCAAATCTGAAATGAATTCTGTTGGCTGTGGTTTACAGGAGAGGGGAGCCGGGGGAGCTGCCGAGGTTTGATGCAGGTGAAAGCACAGCCCGGAGCCGGCCATGTGCCCCCCGCCCTCCCTCCCGGGGGGCTGCTGCTGCTGCGAATGTGCTGGTGGTCCGAGCGGCTTCTCTGAGCTTGAGAAAAAGAGATGCCCGGAGCAGAGACGGATGGAGTGGCTGATGGAGGAGGAAATGGAAGAGACGGGAGAGAGCCTGGGCTGTAGGTGACTTCCCAGCTCAGTTCTTGGCTTCTGTAGCTCACCGTGGCGGCTGAAGGGATGGGGATGCAGGACAGCCAAACCTCGCAGGGCTGGCGCGGGGCAGGCGGCAGCAGGGCTCAGCCAGGAGGGTGGTGGTTGGAGCAGGGGCTTGGGCTGGTGAAGGACTTGTGTCCGAGGAGCCCGTCCTGAGCCGAGGGCTTGGCAGGGGATTTGGCTGCTTGGGATCTGAGCGGCTTCGATGCTGGTAAACTTGGGGAGCAGCGGTGGGTTCACTGGGGCTTTGGAGGGCAAGATGTGCAACAGTGGGGAGACCTGGGGACACCAGAGACCCTGAGATGTTCTTCAGCAGTCATGTACTGAGGTCTGGGGGCTCCTCGGGGAGCGTCCAACCTGCAGCCACAGCAAACGTGGGGTAGAGGGGCTCCCGCCCTGACACGTTAACTTACCAGACACCCAAGCTGTGACAGAAAAGGGTTTTATTGTGTCGGTGGGGAAAGTCCCCTTGCAAAGGACAGTGACAACACCAGAGCGATGCCCAGAGGGGACTTTGCACATGCAGCTGGGATCGGAGCCAAGGAATCGCTGCCAATGCCAGCAATTACTTCTTGAAACATGGGAGAAACCCCAACCCTTCATTAATTCAGGAATTTACAGGTATTAGAGCAAGACTGTGTTGCCTTGGGAAGGCTGAAATACGTAAATTTGATTAAGTCTCATTCCAGAATGTTGTAGCTACCCGAGACCCACGTGTTTAATCTCGGCAAATTCAAATTCAAGATTGAGTCTAAAAGCAATTAAAATAAAATCTTACAAAATGAAATGCAGAGAGGCAAACGCCTCTGCGCCTTCTTCTCCTAGCTTCCTGCGCAGCTAAAATTAACAGAAAACTTTGGATAGACTAAATTTAAGCACTCCCAGTTGTTTCTTCGGTCTTCCTCTGTAGCTGCATGTCTTTGGCACATGCCTTAAACCTGCCCTTTGTTAAGAATTTGGTGGTTTGGATCAGATTTAACCGCTTTTTAAGAGTGTGTTTGTTATTTCCCACATTCTCTCTCCCAACAAGGCACCGGAGGGCAGTGCCAGGGCTGGGTTGGGGTAGGTGTTGAGTCCTTTTACAGCTCCATCTTGGCAGCAGCAGCTTCCCTGGGTTTATGACACTTAGGTCTGGGCTATTTACCAAAACATGGCCGTTTCCCGGTTCGCTCGTGCATCAGCTCGTTAGGGGCAAGGGTGGCGTTTTCTGCCCACCTCTAGATGCGCTTGGTCTCCCCGTTGGGCTCCAGGATGGTCAGGTTTCCTCTTGCATCTTGATCTATTTCTATTGCTTCAAACAGAGACTTGAAGTTCCCAGCGCCGAAGCCCTGCGGAGATGACAATGTTACAGACTGTGGGGACGGGCAGCGGGTTCGTCAGCTCGGAAGCAGCTGGGAAAGAGCAGAACTGAGAGCTGTCTGGGTGATGGTACTTGACGGCCCTGAGGTCTCAAAGCCAGGATCATCACGAAATCCTCAAACCAACCTGGTGGTTATGCCGCTGGATGACCTCCAGAAAGACCGTGGGTCTGTCTTGAACTGGTTTGGTGAAGATCTGGAGCAAATAGCCTTTCTCATCAAAATCCACCAGGATTTTCAGTTCCTGGAGAAAAGAAACAGGGTGACAGCTTGAAGACCCACAGAGGAGCAAGGGGATCCCTCTGCATCACCCTCATCCCTGCAAAACACTTTGGGGAGCTGATCCAGCCCTGGGTACACCTTTTCCTTCTCAGGCCAGTCTGACTCACCGCCAGCTTGTCGATGCTCTCCTTCACTTTGATTTTGGCAGTTTTCAGCTTCTCCCGCAGCATCTGGTAGTAGCTGGACGGCACGTCCATGAACTGCATGCCCCGCTGCTTCAGGCTGGTGATCTGCAAGGCAGGGGAGACCCTGGCGTGGGTCAGGCTTGGGGCTCATTTGTGGAGCGGTTTGTGCCAACAGGATGGCCCGGGACGGACGGTGTTGGGAGGCAGAGCGATATTTTCCCATGACATTGGCCAACCTTGTGCATGGGGACCTGTCCCACTCTCTTGCTTTGGGCACCAGGAATGGGAGGGCCCAGGATGCCCTCTCCAGGCAACACAGAGTGTTGACCACCGTGCAAGGATGCTTCATCCCACCCTGACAACCCCACCCCCCACCCC